GTGACCAGGCCTCTGTTCGGCACATGTAGATAAACAAAAAGAACAAAAGTGTCTTTCTGGGAACTGACTATTAATTTTCATTGGAAGTTATAAAGGTGCCAGAAAGATTTGGAACAGCAAAACGCAAAGAAACCCCAAAATATATATTTACTCGACTGCAATTTGCCTCTTATCCACTGGACGAGGTCACTTTTAATGTACTAATCCTTTAAAGGGAACATATTATACAAAATCCACTTTTTTTAGCCTTTAAATATGGTTTTTGTGTACTTTAAGTATCTGAGTGCAAAAACTTTTTAAATTTATTCTCTCCCAGTGCTGCGTAAATGTCTTTATAACGAGAATAAAGTCATAATATTACAACTTTATCATGGTAATATTATGACTTTATCATGGTAATATGATGACCATATTCTCTTAATTTAATGGGAATATTATTCTGGTAATTTTCTGACTTTATTCTCATAATTTTATTTTTACTCTTTTGTCTGTGGCCCTACTGCGTTCTCATTTTTCTTTTAAAGGAAATGCATATTGGCATTCTTTGTTTTCATATTAACTGAATTATTTTAATGTAGTTATTGACTTAAAATTTGGATAAGATGCAAATTAGAGGTAACTGATCATATTGGTCACAAATGCCGCATTCAGTTAATGTTTTCTTATGTTTACATGATTTTAATTTGTAGTAAACAAGGTGTTTGTGCTTTCTTTACCGTAATAACATCTTGTTACGTATTGACTCTGTTCTTCCTCTTCATCTGTTTTTTTGGTTTGTTGCTCTTAGAGTTGAAAACATTCACAGAAAATTTAAAATACGTTACCCGTCTCATTTATTCTTTTTATCTGCTTAATAATATGGTTAATATAAAAGATTTTAGTATTTTTGTATAAAATGCACATTTTGTTGGTTCAGTCTTTTTGTTTTTGGCCTAGAAAAATATTATTTGTTTACATTAGCAACAAGAACAGGAGATTGCTCAGTGCCTAGTTTAATTGGTGAGGGTGCAGCATGTTTGAGGTTCAAACACAAACAAAAGAAAATAATTAGTGCTGTGTTGAACATCTTTTATTCTTAGATTTTATTGTTTTGTAAAAATAAAAAATATATATTCTAAAGAAGTTCTTCTGCTGTTTCAGGACTTGCTAGTTTTCAGTAAAGTGCAGAGGAAATACCGAAGCATTTACAGCTACAGGAACTCTTATTCTCTTTAACTTGCCACATTATCTATATAAAACATGCGTGAAAATAGATATGCATGTCTGGCAGTTGGTTCTGACACAGTTCAATAACTTTACTTCTTCAATTTGGCCTGTAGTTTTTATCACGGTGTTTATTTAAGGGCTAAATGCTTGTCTCCGTTCCTGAGTATTGTGGTCTTCTCCTTCATTTTTCAGAAAAGGAGGGAATTGCCATAGCAACCAGCAGTGGTAGGCACCGCTAGCTAAAGTTAGCTAGGCTAATCCTAAAGCTGTAATCGCAAACATTAGATCTGTTAAAGCTAAAGCGTTAGCTGAGCGAAACGTATTTAGAGGAAGCTGATGCTAAAGCGCTAACTTCAAATGAAATTATATCTGCCCTTGAAAGGCTGCAACCGTCAAACACCAGTTTGATTTTGACCTAATTTACATCTTTTTTGATGCCCTTTGTTTATATTTTTTGTATTTTTTCCTGTTTTATTTTGTTCCAGGATTCTTCATGCTTTAAGTAAAGTTGGAGAAAAAGTGGAGCTGCTGAGTAAACAGTTTAAATCCACCTCAAAATAAGAGCCTAAATATAAACGTTTAACTACGTAACGTTTATAAAACAGCCAAGTTTATTACAAGTTTACTGCTTTAGAATTTATCTGGAAAAAATTATTTAGGGGAAGCTGAGTGCGCTAGGCATTTTAAAAGTTAGCTGAAGTGTTATATGAAACTTCAGCTCCGCTATTAGTGTATTAGAGGAAGTGTGGCCACCATTTGAAGCCAGGCTCACTTTCTTGTTTGCATCTGTGTTTCTTTCTTCTTTATTTATTCAACATGAAGTTAGTAGCTTCATTTGCAGCTGTAGAAACTTAATACATCATTGAAAAAACCATGCGGAAGTGTGGGCACGGGGAGAGATTCTTATGTTTCTGAGAAGACCCTGAATATTTCCTGGATGTTGCACATCAAATGTTTATACTGATCACAGGAGGAAAACGCTGAGCAGAAACTGCTGCTGCTCTCCTGCAGGAAGTGCGAAGTGGCGTTCCTGTATGCATTGTCCTGTTCCTGCAGCAGCTTCAGTTCTTGATTACGTTCTTGCTTCCTGTCTCGAGTAGCGCTGAAACTTTCTCGGAGTCGTTTCTTCACAGAAATCTGCAGCTGTGCCCGCCCACGCAGCTGCAGACGTCAAACCTCACAGCTGCGTCGTCATGCCAAACGGCCATCTACGTCTCTATGTAGCAGATGGAGAAGTTGGAGCCGCCGACGGCTGGAAGGAAGTGACTCCGTCGCTTCGAGAGCCGCAGCTTTGCATGAGGTCTGACGAAGTCTGGCAGCAATCGCCTTCTGTTTAAGAACAATAATTATTAGTGAAACTGTGACTTTGAATGACTTTGAAATGAAAAGACCTGGCAGGTCATTAATACCCCTGGTGGCTTTGTTGTTCCAGGTGTGTTTGGTTTGGTCAGCTGACCTGCAAAATGGCTGCTTGACCTTTCCAGTGGCAAGCTGAACACCTGTTGGGTTTCTCCTCGGTCAGCTGCTGGTCTCCTCCTCTTCCTCCTCCGCTTTGGTTTCTCTTTCTTCTCTGGTGCTCGAGTGTTTCCTCATGAGTCATCCAGAGAGGAGGGGGGGGGGGGAATCCAAGTTTTCCTGCAACTCAGCAAATGTTGCTCATATAATCAGGAAGATGATGATCGCAGAAAGAGTGCCGAGTTGTGCAGAAGGTTTTAGTTTTCAGTTCTTATTTTTGCCTAAAAACGGAAGCATAAATGTGCCAAAACGAGGGTTAAAGTTGCTTTGGGCTCAACTGGATATTTTTTGAAGGGTAATTTAGTTTAGAGACCTCATAATTAATTTTATTTGTTGTTTCTGTTTATTTTTTGTGGATATTTAAAATGTTTTCCAGGTCTAGTGTTAAATATCCATTAGAATTTAAAGTCTATTGATCTTTGAGACCATTTTCTGGCATCGTTATGCCAGAAAATGGTCTCAAAACTACACTATAATTTTTTCTGAATAACTTCTATGACAATTTATTGTCCAGCAAAATTTGTTATCATGACAGGCCTAAGTGAGATGCCAAATGAACCAGGAGTAAATGCAAAATGTACTAAAATTTAATGCTAATCTGTATGGAGTACAACACAGTCGGCCAAAATCTGCATAGCAGAGAGGAAAACCCAGATTGGCCAAAATAATTCAAAAAGAAATGGGCAAGAATGAACTCAAATTGAGACACAAATTAGGCTGAAATTGAATGTAAAATTCACCAAACTTGATTCCCAAAGTTGACAGAAATGAGGCACAAAGCTGGTCCAGATGTTGGCATAAGTCAAATTTGCCCATGAAGGATGGAAAATATTCTGGAATTTAGCATAAATTGAACTGAAATTTGGGGAAAATTGGAAGCAATACACCAATCTGGACACCAGACTGGTAAAAACTGGTTTCAAAAAGAGTCATGAAGTTGGCAGAACGAAGCACACGGTTGGCTGACGGCCGGGTTGTGGTCTGCTTGGGTTTTTTTGTTCCAACTTACAGGCTTCTGTTTCCAGAAAGCACTGAGTTTGACGGGAAAAAACTCCAGTTTATTTTGGGGATGTGGTGATTTAGGACCGTTTCTGTTGCCGTTTTTATGTCGGATGAATTGTTAAAATGATGCTTCATGTGACCAAACATTTCCTAGTAAAACCCAGAACATCTCTCAGGTTCTGAATCTGCCTTATGTCCTCTCTTCCTTTTATTTTTTTTTTTGTCTTCAACATTGCTCCGTCTGCTTCTCACGGTGGGGGAAAAGCATAACATACATCTCCATCCTCTTGTTTCTATGGCAACGCAGCAGAGAGCAAAGGAGCCGAGAGTTGCAGGAGGCTCCTTCATCCCCCCTTTATGATGAAAAGCAAAGTGAAAAGAGACAGAGTAAGGGGAAAAACGAGGGCTGGGAGCAGAAAAACGGTTATGTGGAAGAGGAGGGGAGGAAGAGGAGAGGGGCCGGCGCTCGCTCTTGTACAGGATGTTGTATCTATGGCAACCTCGGCTGGTTATCAGAAAATTGAAGTCCCTTCTGTTCGTTCTGCTCTGCCTTTTCAGAGATGCGGTGCCATTTATCTCCCGCTTCATATTCTGCTCTTCATCTCATTACCGAGTCGTGCGCCGCAGAAACAAAACAAAAACACAACCCGGTTCGGCGGCCTGCAGACGGAAAGACTGCAGCCGACGTTTACTCTTCCACAGAAAATGAAACATCTCCCCTGAACCAATATTTGCCGTGGACGTGGTCTGTAATGAAAATCCTGCGCGTGGAGCCAGCCAGCGATCTATGAGCTGCAGAGGGACGTGCACATGAAGGAAGAGCGTGTTTGTTCTTCAGCGGAGGGAGGAGGAGGGAGCTGTTTGCTCTATAGAGCGAGAGATGGACGCAATTAAAGAAGAGGAGCACCTGTCCGCTGGAGTCGCCGAGCCGCTTTCATGTAGCGGCTGAGGCGAGTTTCTGTGAGAAAAACATGAAGGAAGGAGAGAGAACCCAATCCAGCTGGACGGCTTTGGTGCTCAGGGGTGTCCAAAGTGTGGCCCGGGGGCCAAGTTTGGCCCTCAAGAAGGCTACGTTCACATTGCAGCCTGATGTGAAAATAGATGGAGATGCTAATTGTGCTAATGATGATAATCGCTACTAAAAATAGCAAATTTCAAGCTAGAGGTTACAAGTATTAATTGTTTTCTTTCACTGCTGTATGCGACGTACAATGGCTGCTGGACAAAAACAAGTATTTTGTTGGTTCAGAAATCATTTGCTGCATTCTTGTTGTTTGTGCGGGAGGCTCCACTTCTGCTTTTTAAACGTGTACGGTTTAGAAATGCAGAAAGAAATCAATTCTAGAAAGAATCATAATTCTTAGTCCTGGGAAGTCTGAATCAACTCAAAATACTGAAAAATGGGGAGCTGTATACATTTCTAATTATTTTATATTTTTTATAATTTAAGAAAAACCCAGCCAGCTGAGCCTACATTCACACCAATCCATTTTTGCTCCCCGTTTCATTGAGCATAAAGGATTTAGACCGCTTGGCAGACCATCCTTTGTTTTAAATCTGGAATGATTTACACGTCCCTCGTCTACAGAAGTCTGACTGCTTTTCAGTCACCCACTGTTCAAGAATATTTTTTATATTTTTAAGCCTCACTAGCTGTTGCTTCTCCCCAGAAAAGGCAGGAATTACCACAATCAGACCTGAAAGTTTCTCCCAGTTTCACTCTGAGTCTTGACATTAGATCTGCTACAGAAAATGTTCTCCTCTCTGCTCATCTCGCCACTAAACTGTCTTCTGCTTCCTTTTTATAACTCGTTTTATGGGAACTTGGTCAGATGTAATTTACAGTTAAGCAGCTCTCCCACATCAGCACTCCTTAAAAACCCGATCGCTTGTCGCTCCGCTTTGTCTGCTGTCGTTTTCAGCGCGTCTTTGTGCCGTTCCTCCTTTGGGATCGTAAATACTAGCCCACTCTGTGAACTCTTGGGCAGCAAAAGAAAAAAGAAAAGTAAAAGAATAGCAAACAGGTAATTGTTAAAGAGCAGAGCAGCAGCTAAAGCTTCTGCAGATGACGTCTGCTCTGGCTTTTTGTGTTAATCTCCCATCAACAATAATTGCAAGCTAAATCATGCAGTGACTCTAATGTCTACAGAATCAGCGGTGAATCATTTATGGCTCTTATAATAGAGCTGCCTTAAACATTTCTGTGAAACTCCTCCTATGGTTTTAGGAGGGAGAGCTTGGTTTCCTTGTGGTTTTGACTTGTTCTTGATATTTTTATCTGCCTGGGTCACGAACGCAAACACGCATGTTTCCTTTGCGTCCGGAAACTTGTGGTAATTTGTCAGTGTTTCTGTAATCTTTGGGACGGCCTGGGATCGTCGCTTCCCGCTCCTCCTCAGTTCAGTTAGTTTTTCCAGCTGGTTTCTGGATGTGAACACAGCATCACCGCCTGATTATGCCGACTAAAGTACCTGCAGGTTAGTTTGCTCAGGGCGGCTCGGGTTAGGAGATGTTTCTTTTTGTCTTTCCAGCTGACTGGCAGGAAAAACAAAAGCCTTGTTTCTGCTCTGGCTCTGCTCCAGCAGACATCTTGTACTGTAAACAACATGCAGCTGATGCTGATGCTGTTGTCTTCTTTCTGCCCTGCCTGCAGCCCACCGGTTACATGGAGACGACTTTGTCCTACAGCTCCATAGAGGACCTGCAGCTCCTCTCCTGGGACAACGCTCCCAAGTACTGCATCCAGCTCAGCATCCCTGGAGGCACCATCCTGCTGCAGGTGATTCACACGGAAATCGGGCATTTGAACTTGCAGAACCCGACGTCAGATTAATCACATTACAGATAAATAAGTACAAAAATGTGAAAACATTTGCAAGCTAAATCATGCAATGACGCTAATGTCTGCAGAATCAGCGGTGATGAGCACAAAGATCTAGATAAAGTATTAATTATCTGTGTCAAATTTGCAAACTCAAAGTTTTTTGCTCTTTTTTTCTATCTACATTGGCCCTAATATGCCTCTGTAAACAAATCTATGGAAAAAAATCAAATTTAAATAATATAAAAAAATGAATAATTAATAATCACCATTAATAATAATTGAATACATGTAGGCAGAAATGGAAAATGGATAATAAATCATAAAACCTATACAGAATAATGACATTTTTCAAAATCTATGTAGTTGGTTATGTTGCTGGCTAGATTTTTAAAACGACTTGAAAACCCTGAAGACACTATAAGCAAAACGTCCTTCTTTACTAAATGTAAACAAAAATGGAGTTTCGTCAGATTTCTCTTGTCGTTGTCAAAGACCCTGAGCTAGCTAGCTATCTAAAATCTAATTTAATAACATTAAACTCTCATCTTGCTCCTTCTCGAGACATTTTTATCAGGGACAGGAATAAACACATTAAATTTTATTTAAATTAATTTAATAACTTGGCAGTAAAAAGAGTTTTGAACTGAGAATATTGCTTATTTTGTTGATCACATAGTTTTCAATTAAAATGCGATTAATTTCTTACAAACCCTGGAATTACCTCAATAAAACATTTAATTCCACCACTGATTTTTATGTTTACCAGTGTCCTGAAGAGCTGCTGGGCTGGCATTAGCATTTCTCCTCTCTGTTTTCATACAACTTGTTGATAATTGGTTATGATCTTGGAGAGATCTGGCAAAGTCTCATAGAGACGACCTCAAAAACTAAAAACAAAACCCACTGAGGGAGGCACTTGGTGTCTTCGACAAGGTGTTGGACGACCTCAGAGAGATTCACGGCAGCCTTAAAGACAACAGGGTTTGTTGACCACAGAGATACGTGACACCAGATGACTGGAATGACTGTAACGTCTTTGTTTTTATCTGTAGCCATTTATATTCCCCGCTTCTATTCATGGTAATTGTCTTTCTAGTAGGGCTGGACAATAAATCAGTAATAATATATATCGCTATAGGTATGAGATCAATATCGGCAGATATTGAAGGAATATTCAGTCTCTAGAATATTCACTCAACGCCAGAACCGCACAGCATTATGGGAGTTGTAGGCAGAGGAAACACTGCAGCTGCTCAGCCTCTGGCAGCGAGCTAAGCTAGGTTGGTGGCTTCAGCTCACTCAATCTTTGGTTACCCAGCAACAACTGGAGTAACTTGCAGCAGTTTAAGCCACTGCTTACAAATAAAAAACAATGGCATGAAGTAAAAACCAGGCTGGCAATATTTCAGATATTTAAAACAAAAAAATGGTAAATAAATATTGAATTTGGTGAGTATTCAGTAGCATCCTGAGACATTTTTTCAGCCTATCGTTCAGCTCTACTTTCTGGTCTTTCTGCCGAGTCGTTTTCTGTTCCTGTTTTTTGTTTTTTGAGGTTGTCTTTAGCTGTTTGTGGTATTTTGAATCATCATTCTTAGAAACATTTCATTGTCCTGACACGCTTTTTTTGCCCTGAACCCAGCAGCAGCTCTCACACGGCGCTGGACACACTGTTCTCGCTCAGCCGTCCATAACACGGACCATTTCTTTCTCTAAACGCACACCGCACCCTTGCTGCTCCTGTCTTTTTTTCTTTTTCTTTTTTTGACAGCAGTCAGTCGGCTTGAAGTCACCAAACATGTCTCTGTTTGTGTTGAGGAGTGCAAAACGCGCAGGAAACGGGTGAAATGATTCCTCCATTGCGTCGCAGCAACAGTTCCGCTTTCCGCGGCGTCGAAGACGATTGTGATTTAGAGACACTAATGAGTTATTTACGGCCCCGCCGGCTGTGTAAACACTGGCTCGTCAAAGCAGGCGTGTCTCGGTCAGAGGTGAAGCTCGGAGGATCGTCGTTAAACGGGCAGATTTATGTCTCGCTGCAGGTTGATCCAGGTCTGTTATGGATGCTGCAGCTTTGTTTCACACAGGAAGCTCACAGGAAACCTCGTGTCTTTGTCTTTCATTCTTATTTGTTCACATGAAGCTACAGACTCTGATGTACTTGGTTTGGATTTTATCTGCCAAATAGAGCTTTTGTTCCATTTTTTGGATGCATTATGTATTCAACCCCTTTTGAGTGAATACTTTGCAGAACAAAGTTCATCACGGTTCCAGCTGCAAGATAAACAGCTGAAACTGAAAGTTATGCAAAATAGCTGAAGATGATCTGATCTGATCGGATCTGATCTGATCTGATCGGATGGAGAGCAACGAGCAGCAGCTTTCAGTTCTTCCCACAGATTCTCAACTGCTTTTAGTTATGGAGTTTGACTAGGCCATTTGTATGCTTTCATCTCAACAATACTTTATCTAGATTTGTCACAAAAAACTGATTTTGCTTGGAGACAAATTGTCTCAGTAGTTATTGCGATAAACGATCACACGTTATTTTGAGACAATTTTCAAGTAATGCATTAAACATGTTGTACTAATACAAGTTGACCCTGAACATGCACTGGAAGACATGTTAAATATCCAACATGAAACACGACGCTCCAAAGGGAAAATGAAAACCACACACAACCAAAACCACAAATAAAATAATTACAAAGTCTCTGAAACAAAGCTTTCAAAATGGAAATGATCAAACTTTAAGTGATCATGGAATTAATTGATTACTAACTTATTTCAACAGGCTTAGTTGTATAGTATATAAATCCACACTGTAAAAACTTTACCAGGTATTTTTTGTCTAGTTTTTAGTGAATGTTAGTTTTGACTTATTTGAGGAGTACTAACTTATAAATAATATTTCAGAGAGATTTAGGAGCTTGTTTTATAATAATTCCTCAATATTGATGAAAAATTATTTCCACTGGCAGATTAATTCACTTCAGACATTTTTCCCATGTTATAAATAATCTGCCAGTGGAACTTGCATATATTTAATCAATATTAAGGAATTATTATAAAACAATCTCCTATTTCTAGCTGAAAAGTTTTCTCTTATTTCAAGTGTGCCAACATGTTTGCAGTAGAAACTGGACCAAAAATACTTGGTAAGGTTTTCTTTTTGCAGTGCGTTGTCCATTTCTCTTTATTATACGTCTTAAATTTATAATGGTCTTAAAAAGTTTTACATTTGAGTTCTAGCTGAAAAAACCCTTTAAGCTTCCATTTAAAGCCGGACAGAGAGATGTTGGAGTAGGGGATAAGACCTTTGGAAGAGATGGTTTGGACTTCCTCCTCCTTCTCTCTCTGCTCCTTTTCAGCTTCTCTAGAATTTGGGGTCAAAGTTCAGGCATTATATGAGCTTTGGACACCCTGATCAGCTGCTCCAAATAGACAAGAAAGGATAAATAACTTGCTGCCATGGTTACGCATCATAGCAAATGTGCAAAAAGTGATAAAAAGAGGAAGAGCAAACGCCAAACGGCAACGCCTCAAACCAAAACAATGAACAAGAGTGTAGAAAAAGAACAATGAGGTTTGATGAAGATCATCAGTTTTAGTCATTTCCATGTGAATCTAAAGTTTTTGTTTATTTGGACCTAACGTGTTGTTTGTCTCCGTGTCGCTGCAGGCTGCCAACAGCTACCTGAGGGACCAGTGGTTTCACTCCCTGCAGTGGAAGGTGAGCTTTCTGTTCGTCTTTAACTATTAATTCATCAGTTTGGTTACAGAGCTCCTCACTCCCAGCCCCATTCAGGAAAAGGTTCTGCTGTTGTTGCTCAGCTTGTCACCGATCTGACCTGTAAAACCCGCCGACACCTGAAGCCGACACCGTCGCTTCCTGTGCTGCAAATTTATAATCCATGTGTGTCCAGAGGTCCAAACATGAGGGAAATAAACATGGGATGCGATCCTGCTTTTTTTTTAGATTTGCACATTTAGAGTAGTTTTGATCAACGTTTCTGATGGTTTTTCAACTTAAATATGTAAAAATAACAGTTCAACAGTAAGAAAGTTGGTTTGTTTTATGGAAGAGGATTAGAGATCCCTAAAAAAAATACTTTAATCTGGCAATTATGACTTTAATCTTCTGAGATCAACAGTCAGAATTATTCTTTTTCTCAGAATTTTGACTTATTTTGCCAAAATTTTGTCTTTTGGTATTTTTCCTCAGAATTTTCAAGGTTTTTTCTCAGAATCCTGTTTTTTTCTGAGAATTTTAATTATTTGTCTTTGAATTCTGAATTTTTTTTCTGAATTCTGAGGAAAAAAAGCCAGAATTGTCAGAAATAATTCTTTTTTGTTCTTTTTTAATGGCCCCAATCCTCTTCCATATTTAACCAACAAGAAAATTCAGAACATTTCCATTTAAAGTTGGACTAAAATCAAAGAATTACAAAGAAGAACTTCATACGGCCTCCACAGGGCTTGGAAACCTCCAGACAGGTCTTTCCATACAGCAGATGTTCCTTTCCTCTGATTGGATATTTCTCCTGCAGAAAAAGATCTACAAATACCGTAAAGTCCTGAACAACCCGAGCCGCTGGGACGTGGTGCTGAAGGAGATCCGAGCGCTGGTGGACATGGCTCTGACCTCCCCGCTGCAGGACGAATCCATCCACCAGGCCCCGCTGCACATCATCTCCACCCTGCTGGCAGAGGCACGTCTCTCCCTCCTGCACACTCAGGCATTCGCTGAGTGCAGTTCGCTGCTCTGTCGCTTCTTTTAGTATGGGCTTAAATATTTGTGCGTAGATTTTAGAACAGGAGCTGCGGTTTGGATGCAGATACTTTTCTGTTTTCAACCTTTGTTTCTTCATCCACTGGTCTTTTTTCCACAATAACTGATTCCTCTGGTTGCCTGCACTGCAAAAACACAAAATCGTACAAAATATTTTTGTCTAGTTTCTTGTGCAAATATATTATTACATTTGAAATAAGACAAAACTAATTTACAAGTACCGGTAACTTAAAATTCCTTAATATTGACGAAAAAGTACTAGATCCACTGTCAGATTATTTCAGTTATAACAAGATATTTTTTCCATGTTATAAGTGAAATATTTGCCCATTAATATTAAGAAATGATTGACTGAAAATGAGCTACTAAATGTTGCTGAAAAGTTATTTCTAAGTTAGTTTTGTCTTATTTTAAGTGTAATAAGCCGGAGGTGTCCAAAATGTGGCCTGAGGGCCATTTGTGGCCCTTAGCATGATTTTATTTGGCCCCTAACAACAAGATAAGAGCCGTAAGAAGTTTGGGCAATAAAACAGAAAACAATTGATGACACAAACAATTTGGAAATTGTCTGAAGCGTTTTTATGTTTTTGTTGTTTACTGATGCACAGATTTAACAAAAAAAAAGTTTATTATTGAGCAGGTAAACAAAAAAATCAACAATAAACTAATTTTGCATTTTTATCTTAATGAATTTTGATGAAATTTTCCAGTTTTGTTAGCTTGGCTCCAGCAGTTTCCTGTGTTGACAGTTTTCGTTTCTTCCTGTCTGCAGAACTCGAACCTGAGCGCTCAGGATCACGAGAACATCATCGTGGTGAGTTTCCAGGTGAAGCCTCTCCAGCTTCCCGCCGTTTTGCCCTTTGACCCCCTGGATATCGACCCCTGCAGTGTTTCTGGGTGCATGTGGAGCGCCTGTGTTGTTTGTGCAGCTCACCTGATCCTGCGGCCTGGTGCCCTGCCCAGGTAAATAGCAGATAGCATATGTAAATATTTATCTGCCTGTGCTCTTTTGCAGGCGATCGCTCCGCTTTTGGAAAACAACCACCCGCCGCCCGACCTGTGCGAGTTCTTCTGTAAGGTGAGACCAGCAGCAGCAGCTGCAGCAGCAGCTGCAGCAGCGCTTCGCTCAGCTGTTGAACTCTGCAGATTTAAAAAAAAATCTTTCTTGTTCTGCGTGTTGCAGCATTGTCGGGAGCGGCCGCGCTCCATGGTTGTGATCGAAGTTTTCACGCCTGTGGTCCAGAGAATCCTCAAACACAACATGGTGAGAAACCATGAAAATGCCCTAAAATTCAGGGTTTTTTGTTTTGTTTGAAATCAGTGAACCTGGAAACCTGGAAACCTTTTATCAGCTGCAGATTCTCAGCAGTGAAAACCACTTCCTGTCCCGGCGTGGTTCCACCCTGCCCAGTTCCTTTATGGGATGGCAGACTGGTAGCCGGCTTGTTTCCATTAGAAGCTCCCTGACACCTTATCCCAGTGTTTCACAATGTAGGGGCCGTGGCCCCTCAGGGGGCCGCCAGGGCGCTCTGTGGGGACCTCAGATAATTGGAGCAAAGATGAGAAAGAAAAGTAAAAAAAAATGAATCCCATAATTCAATCTTGAAATTTTCATTACAATTTTTAAGTTTTTAAATAATTTTTAAACAAAATATAAGTTATGAAAGTCATAATATCACAACTTTATTCACATAATTTTCAGACTTTACTGTCATGTTATTTCAACTCTATTTTTTACGGTTTTATTCTCATAATGTTGTGACTTTATTCTCGTACTTTTGTGATTTTTGTTCTTGTAATATGACTTTATTTTATGTTATTTTGACTATTTTCATATGAGTTTATTCTCAGTTTTGACTTTATTTTCTTAATTTTATGACAGTATTTTTGAAATATTTTGACTTTATTGTTATATACCTTTATTCTCGTAATTTTATGACTTTGTCATATTATTTCAACATTATTCCTGTACGACTTTATCCTCATAATTTAATGACTTTATTTGTAGTTTTTTCCTCAGAAAGGCCATAAGACTTGGCAATCCTCAAACTTTGTGTTTTTTTTTTCTTCTGACAGGATTTCGGGAAGTGCCCTCGGCTTCGTCTCTTCACTCAGGAGTACATTCTGGCTCTCAACGAGCTGAACGGCGGGATGGAGGTGGTTAAGAAGTTTATCCACAGGTGAGCGAGCCTCTCTGAGCGTTCGGAGCGTCTAGACGTGATTCTGCCTGCAGAATCTCTGGATCAAACGTGTTTGTGTTGCAGCATGCACGGTCCGACGGGGCAGTGCCCTCACCCCCGTGTGCTGCCCAACCTGGTGGCCGTCTGCCTGGCGGCCATCTACTCCTGCTACGAAGAGTTCATCAACAGGTCAGTCATTTCCTGAAAACCATGCTGCTTTTCCACTTGAAATCTGCTTCACTTTTAAAGCTAATTACCACCTTTTATAACCTGTAGCTGTGCACTGAATGGCTCTGCGGTCTGTTTGGGGGTAACCCTGTTTGTAATCTCACATTTTATGATCCGAGTGTTTAGCTAGAGCTGTTGATCCAGAGGAGCCGTGGCGTTGTTTGCCTCCATGTTTCCATTGATTAGACAAACCCCAGGCTGGTAATTTCCCACATCTTGCAGCTCTAATATGAAGGAAACGGGACAAACAGTCATTTCCAGTTGTTACCAGGAAGGCAGCCCATAATCGGATCGGTCATCAAACCCACATTATGCCATTTATAGCCCTAAGCTAATTTGCAGCATCCCGCAGCGCCACAGAAATACACAATCAATTATAGGAGAAACAAATAAATGGAAAATAATTAAATATATTGCATGATCATTGGACTGTGGAGAAAACCCTGAGGTTTTTTTATGAGAGCTGCTGTTAGTGGGTTTTTCTTGTCAACAAACTCTTTATTGAGCTTTATTAAATTTAATTTGTTATGCAAATGAAACAAATGTTTTGTATCCTGTAAAAAAGAAGAAAAGAAAAACCTGTTGGAGCACTCTGTTTTTAGTATTTCCAAGTAAGTTTTATTTTCTCAGAAGGATTTTAATTTTACAGAATCAGAAGTCACATTTCATCACCTTACCGAGTTATTTTTTGCCAAAAGTGACGTCCATCCATCTTCTTTACCCCCTTGTCCCTTAGTGGGTCGGGAGGGTTGCTGGTGCATATCTCCAGCTCACGTTCTGGATGAGAGACAGGGTTCACCCTGGACAGGTCGCCAGTCTGTCGCAGGGCAACACAGTGACACCCACGCATGCACAGGAAGAACATGCAAACTCCATGCAGAAAGACCGGGGCCGGGAATCGAACCCAGAACCTTCTTGCTGCAAGGCAACAGATCTACCAACTGCGCCACTGTGCAGCCTTCCAAAAGGGATGTTTTCTGTTTAAAACATATTTTGTAAAGAGAGAGGTGGTGATTTTTTGGAAAATGATAATTTGCAGTTTGCCATATTTCATGTAAGAAAAGACAAAAAAGGAAGATTTTAGGTCTATTTGATATATAGTAGAACATGGTGGTGGCGGCATCGTGCTGTGGGGGTTTTATTCAGCAGGGGCACCTGATCAGAGCTGATGGAGCTAAATACTGGACCTAAAAAGCATCCAGAGCTAAAGTAGGAAGGTTTAGATCGAAAAATAGGCATGTTTTAGAATGGCCTAGTTAAAGTCAAGACTTAAATCCAATTGAAAATCTGTGACAATAATTTAAAATTGGTTCTCTTCGACGTTCTCAACCAGTGCGGTCCAAACATTTTTTTATGTGGGTCAAAAAAATAGAATTTTTATAAACTAAAATCACAGAAAATATCTTCTTTTTTTTAACAATTAACTAAGGATCAACTGTTTTAATTAAACAAAAAAAAAAATTTTCTCTCCTTTTTTCTTTAGGAACAGGATTGGATATCCAAAACATGAAATGTTTTTTTCTTGTTCAATGAAGGAAAACCATTTTCCTTCATTTTATTTTTCTTGGTAATAAAAACAAAATCCATGTCAGCCTTAATTTGAAAACACTTTCTGTATTTATATTTGTTTTAAAACAACATTAAAAGCAGATTTTGGTGCACCAAAGTTGGAGTATAGATCAATGAACGGATGTGGCCCTAGTTACCATGACAACTGAAAGAGAGCTGAAAGCCTGGAAAAGATGATGTTGCATCTAATGTTTATCAAAAGGAGATTTTAATTTTAATTTAAAAATTGTAGTTTTGTGATAATTTATTTCATGTTTGAACACCTTTACGTTAAACCCAATCTGACTGAGCTGAAGTTATTTTGCAAAAAATAAAATATAAAAATAAACAATGAGTTAAACTGTTAAGTTCTACGACCCGTTGCTGTTTGAATATTTTTGCAAAGTGAAACGAATTACAGAAATAAAACGAAAACATGACCGAATGGAAATACTGGCTTGTTTACCCTCCGTTTGACCTCTTTCCAGGAATTTATGTCTGGATGGTTCTGGTTGTTTCCTTTTGGGTCTTTATTACCTTCAACCCCAAAGCTTCTCTTCTCCCAGAGCTTCCGTTGCCATGGGAACCGTCGCCGTGGCAGCCATTTCTCCAGACTCCGTTTACATCTCTCTTGCCCTCTTATCTCATTTCCATCCTTACCATATGCTGGAAAGTTTGACTCGGCGTCATTTCTTCTGTTTGTTTTGTTCGTATGTGACACATATACTTCATCATTCCGATCCTTTGACCCAAAAAAAGATTCCACATGCAGTACTAGTTCTAGCAAGATATAGGAGCTCGTTTTTGATCAATAATTCCCCAAAACTGGCAGGTTATTTAACTTATAACATGACAATTCTCCCATGTATTTAGGGGAAAAATCTGCCAATGGAATAAGTATTTTTGAGAAAACTTGTATTTCTGTAAAAACTGAGCATCAGCCTGCTGTTTGGACGCAGCCGTGATGGTTTGTGATGTTTCTCCCACCTGCAGCAGAGACAACTCTCCCAGCCTGAAGGAGATCAGGAATGGCTGCCAGCAGCAAAACGACCGCAAGCCGCCGATGCCGCTCCGGCTTCTGCGACCGGAACCGCCGACGCCGCCTCCCTCCACCATCCTGCCTCTCTCCAGCGCCCCCCAGCCGTCTCCACCCGCCCCCGCTAACCCGGCGGCTCCGTCCATCCCCATCTGCTCCCCGACGCCCTGCCTGCCGCTCTCCCCTCCGCCCTCCATCGTCAACTCCAGCGAGATCCTGGTGGAGCTGGAGCGGAACAACAACACGGCCAACGCCAAGCGGAAGGGTGGGCCTGCAGGGGGCGACAGCGAGCCAAACCTCATCGACTGCCTGCTGGTCAGCCCGGCTTTGAACACGCTGTCCATCCAGCTGCCGGCGCAGGCCGACCGAGTGCTGGGCTGCTTCGCCCTCATCCTCAAGATGCTGTGAGTTCACACGACAGGCTCCACTGGAACAAGATGTAATTTGCAGTTTTCAAAGTTTCCAAATATGAAAAGCTTAGACCTGAATGAGATTTTGGTGAGATGATAAACCCAGCGCTGGTTGGAGCTCCACTGTTCAGCCTTGCATAGCAGCAGAAACGCCATTCAAAGTTCAGCTCACACAAACTAGGACTTTACTCAGTTGAATTGATTCACAGTTTTTACTCAATCACAGTTTAAGTTCGATGGACTTTTTACAGATTTTCCCACAGAATGTTCAGCTTAGATTGATGACGTTACATCTAGATTCTGACCCTACGATTTTATTTTCTTTGAACTGCCTTCATGCTCACAGTTTCATCTCCACATTAGCAGCTAATACATCAAAATGTTGGTGTTTTTCTCCACTTTCACACAGTGTGACTCCCACTGCTGTAGGACTTAGTTTTTTGTCAATTCACCCAAACTGCAGAGTACACACCCAAACTCTCATTCACTCCCATTAGAGTTCTGATTTTTGTCCATCCAGACTAGAACTGAGGGCTCAGTTTAACCCGTCTTATCTTCTACATAAAACATTGTTCACACTTATAATTTTACATGTGAGCCCATCATAAGGTTCTGACCCTGCCAGGTCAGAATTATTTTTGTTGTGGCCCATATTTTGTTACACAGTAACGGTTTCTTCAACTCATTTCTCCCTGCCTCCTGTGAAAGGCGGCAATCGCCATGGAAACAAAAGATTTGGAATTCAACCTCTGGTTTCCATGGCGATTGTGGCCTCACAGAGTAATTTCTTTAATATGTTATTAGTCTTCCTGGAACTCTACACTCAAAAGTTCTCAGAAAATTATATCTGAAGTATGATTTTTTTATTTTATTTTGTACTTTGGCCGTGTTGAGTTTACGTATGCGAGTGTCTGACGCAACGAAACACCTTCTCAATGCGAAGTACGCTAATATGTTCTTGTGTTCTCGGCAAGTACGGCTGAAAGTTCGTTCTTGCTGTGAACAGAAGTATTCGGTGCAGTAGTTCTGCTATTGGAACACAACGTAGCTGGTAACGTTGCCGCTCAGCTAAGAGTATGATTTTCTTTATCTTGACCTTTTCTAATTTATGTATGTGAGTTTTTGACGCAGGAATTGGCCTTTTTTAGTACCAAAATACAAAAGTACGTTCCTGAGAGGCAAGTAGAGTTGAAAGTTTTTTTCGACAGTTGAAGATCTTTCCCACAGTTTCAATAAATGTTCCATTTTTACTTCGTAATGGGATTATTTTCACATCTACAATGGATAATAAAGTAACAAAATATTTGATGCCAAATAAATATAATTGGGAAGAAATGTCAATACCAAGTAGAAATCTTTTTTAAAAATGGGCTAAAATGTATTGACTATACAAAAACATTACTAACAAAATAATCTTTTCCAATATCATAAACATTAGACTTATCTGTGAAGCATGATTATCAACTAAAAAATGAAAACCTTCCATTATCCCTTAAGTTAAGGATCCATAATATGAGAATAAAGTGATAAAATTTTGAGAATAAAGTCGCAATAATATGAGAAGAAAGACGTACTGGAATAAAATCAAAACAGCGAGAATAAAGTCGTAATAATGACAAAGATGAGGTTTTCTCGTAATTTAATTTTTTTTTTTAATTTTCTTGGCCCTAATACTCAGAAACAGCATAGTTTCATTCTAGTGGGCGGAGCCTGAGGAAGCTGACCAATCAGAGCAGACTTCTGTCTTTGGAGTAAAAATCTCATTTTAAACTCCTGCTTCACTTTGTAAACATTTAAGGTGAACTGAACACTGAGCTGTTAAATTGGCATTATGTTAAAATCTCTGTCATACACACACATTTACTAAGCGCTTCCTTTTAGTGATAAATGCTTTAAACAATGTCCCAGTTAGAGAAAGGCGAGTGTGTGAGCCGCCCTGACTGGCTGATGGCTGCTGATTACAGGGTGAAAATGGAGCGGCGGCGGGGCGTAGACCCAGCGACTAAGCTGGCAGGCTTAAAAAGCAACAGTGTTTGTAGGGTTGTAGCATTTGTGACAAAGCCGGAGTTACTTAATCTGTGTAATCTGAGGCTGCAAGAGCTTCTGTTACATCAGCACAACTGTTAATCTGCGTCATCGCAGCGCTGCTCGGGTTTCACTTTCTGCTGTCTTTTTTTTTAAATGCTCTGGGCCTCTTTGCATTGTCCTCATGGATTTCTTGCTTTTCTTTTGTGATTTTTCAGGTCGGACTACGATGACTGGAGACCGGCTCTGGCCAGTCTGCTGCAGCCCATCCCGTTCCCGAAAGAGTGAGTGCTCAGAAAGATTCACACCTCAGGAGTCAAAAACTTCTGAATAAAATCAGCAAGGAGTTGATTGTTTGTTTTCTGTTTTTTTTTCTGTTTGTTTTCACATCACTAGTAGAAATGAATTAAATAAGCAACTTGTAAAACTACCTTTTAGAAGAAATGACTCTCCAGTTGAGGTCTGGACTTTGATTAGGCCATTAAAACGAGGTCAAACCATCAACCCTCCTCTACCATCCCTGATGACGCGTTTCATGGATGTGCTGTAGGGTTGGCAGAACTAACTTTTTAGTTAGTGAAACTAATGTTTAGGTTTAGTGTTAGTGCAACTAGCGTTTTAGTTAGCAGTACTAATGTTTATGATTAGTTCCTTTGGGTTAGTGCAACTAGTTTTTAAGTTGGCAGTCCCCTCCACTGATGGCAGCATATTTATAAAATATGTTTTAGAGCATTGATGCAGTTATTCTAGTTTAGTGTCGTTGTAGGAAGGAATTGAATTGTTGTAAATCCAAATCTTTTATATTTCTGATTTGGCGTCAGATCCTGCCACACTAGTTTCCCTCTGACACCAGCAGTGCAGCCATGACCTAACCTCCCATGTTGGCATTCTGGCTCCAGTTGCTGTGGAGGTAGCCGTGTTTCTGAGAGGCTCCTGCGGGGGCCGTCTTCCTGACGTAGGTGTGTGAAGCAGTGGTCCCAGCCTTCCTGCCCCCAGAGAGCCTGCTGTTATTGGACAGAAGCAGCCCAGAGCTGTTGTTGCCTGGCCCTCCCAGAGCTTCATTAGGGTTGACTGGTGAACGTTTTGTTGTTTCTCCAACGCTGGGACGCACCTGCTTCTCACCTGCACCACTGCTGCCCCGTTGGCGCTTTAGGCGTCGTTGGGAATGGCAACAAGCTGAAAATAAAATGAGTCATCTTGGCCACGGTTGATTTATCCGACTGAGTGGCTGAAACAACAAAAACCCAAGAGTTAGCATGTCAGACATAAAGGTCCATGATAGAAAAACAACCGGGCTGTTTGGAACAGATGTTCTCCCCAAACAGAACATGGCAGCTGGTCTCAAAAGACTTCTGGAAAAATGTAATTCAGACAAAATAGAGATGTTTGGCAATAATGCATAGAAGCTGTTGTGCATGATGGAGGAGGCTCCTGGTTGGGGCAGCTTGCAGTCACTGACACAGAGCAATAAATTCAAACACAGCAGTAAATCTACAATAGAACAGATCTGAAATGATTAATTGTGATTAATTTATTACTTCAATAATCATTGACTAATTTAGTAATTGATTAATCGTTAACTGCAGTATTTTCTGTGTGTCTTTTTTCTCTTTCAGAGCCTCTGAGGGCTTTGGTAGAGTGTTAACAATTTGAATTTCAAACAAGAAAATCTGGTTTTCTGCAAGAGAACTAATTCTTAAACAATTAATCAGATTAATTGTGATTATTCAATTATTGAAATGGTCGTCAACTAAAGTGCAGAGCTTTTTTGTCTTGCTTTTTAGCCCATAAAATGTTTATTTTTCTAATTTAAAAACGAATGTAATTATTTACATTGTTTTATGTATTTTAAATATTTTCTAACATAAATTTATGATTAAATAAAAAATCTGCAGAATATGCCAATTTGTAACCGATTAATCGATTGCTAAAAGAATCAGTAGCTGCAGCTACTGATTCTTTTAGGTCAGCGCTGCACGGTGCGAGTTACTAAAACCTGCTCCCACAGAGACTAAAAAAAATTAAAAATCAAGAGGTTACAATGGCCTACAATGAGGTTAAAGCCCAGAAATCAGCCTGTTTGAAGTGCTGCGAGTTGACAGCAGCTCAGACTGCAATAACAAAGTGATACAGAAACCTTCACTAATTTCCTCAAGAGGACAATTAACTCTCAGCAGTCGGAAAATATAACGAGCTTTTTGCTCTCCTGAAACCTGTGAACTTGTCATCAGCGTCTCATCACCGCAGCTGAAACAAAAAACTCTCCTGTTTCTCACATCTGTCTCTGTTCTCCTCCCTGCAGGGCTCTGGCTCATGCCAAATTCACAAAGTAAGTGTCTGAAAGTAGCAATGTATGCAAAGCCGACTCTGAGGCTTCATCTCGGCCTAACGCTTGTTCCTCTGTCTGCACAGGGAGCTGAAATACGTCATCCAGAGGTTTGCAGAGGATCCCAGGCAGGAGGTGAGTAGCTGCTCCTCTGAGTGAGAGAGAGAGAGAGAGAACGCAGCAGGAAAAAATAGCAACATCTATGTTTCTGTGGCCTTCAGGTTCATTCCTGCCTGCTCAGCGTTCGCTCGGGCAAAGATGGCTGGTTCCAGCTCTACAGCCCAGGGGGCGTGGCCTGTGACGACGACGGCGAGCTGTTTGCTAGTATGGTGAGCCATCACTCCAAAAGGCTAAAAACGAATGCTAATATTGGCGTCATGAATGCTGTTTTGTTTTATATTTTCATCGCTACTTACAGACCAGGATTCTGTGTCTTTAATAAAGCTTGAATTAAATTGGACAACATCTTTGCAGACCCCACACATCCTGGACACAAACTGTTTAGCCTTTTATCGTCAGGTCAGCGCTGCACAGCGCGAGTTACTAAAACCTGCTGCCACAGAGACAATTCTATCATTGTCTTCCTCTTTTGTAAAGACAATACAAATATATTTACTTATTTATTGATTTTCTCTAACGTTCATATTAAATTGTTTTCATTAAGAGCAAAGTGGAACCAAGTAAAAATTCCTTGTTTGTGTGCAGAAACCTGACAAAGATGAAAGATAATTCTCTTTGTTTTTCTAAATTAATTTCTTCATAAGTAAATATTTACATATTTATTTTGTTTTGCTTTTTATATATATATTTAAAACATTTTCATTAATATCAAAATAGAATCAAATCCAAATTGTTTATGTGCACAAACTTGGCAAAAAAATAGCCCATTTTCTTTTTTATTTCTCTGAGTTAATTTTGTCTCAAAGTGGAATAATTTTCTGCAAGGGCTCCATTTTGTGCCCTAAAGCACAGCTACTCATTCAGAAGTTGGATGCTTCCCTCGTGGTGAGGAACTGTTGACTGTAGTTTTATGACTAAAATGCATTGACTTTGTTGCCCGTTTTCCATGTTATTGTTGATGTTTTCCCATTGAAATGAGTCAATCTCCCTCTCTCCTGCAGGTCCACATCTTGATGGGTTCCTGCTACAAAACCAAGAAGTTCCTTCTCTCCCTGGCTGAGAACAAGTTGGGTCCCTGCATGCTGCTGGCCCTGCGAGGGAACCAGACCATGGTCGAGGTCAGAATACGATTTCTACACTTTTTTTAGATGCTTAAACTCCAGATCAATGCTAAAATTCAACCTTTGACCTCCTGGGATGGTGATTGAAGAGGAGTGATTTTTATTTGTCTCTTTTCTTTGAAAATCCACCAGAATCTTTTTTTTTTTTTTTCTAAGTGTGTATCTGCATCAGCCAAAAGCACTGAAACCTACTGAGACAAAAGCCATGAGTTTTACAGATTTTGTCTTTGTGTTCTCAGATTTTGTGTCTGATGCTGGAGTACAACATCATCGAGAACAAAGACACGCAGCTGCAGATCATCTCCACCCTGCAGAGCACGCAGGTGGGCTTCCGCATGTACGAGCAGCTCTGCGACCGCCAGCGGGAGCTCAAGGAGCTGGTGAGCTTCTCCTCCGACTCTCCTCTGAAAGCTGCATGTCTTTAATAATTAATTTAGTGTGCTAAATCTCTTCAAAGATAGGTAAAGCACTAAACAAAAGATTAGCTTTGCTATTAGCAGATTAGTGTGCCTACTACTGGTTTTCTGTGCTTTAAAAAAGAAACTTATCCTGTGCATTCCTTACAACTCTGACTTTTCCTTTTTGATCTCTTCAGCAAAGAAAAGGAGGTCCTACCCGGCTGACTCTGCCCTCCAAGTCCACGGTTGGTTCACCCTCAGTCTGTTAAATCAACTCTCCTTCCTGGCTGACAGACAATGAAAACATTTGCTTTGTCTCTTCCTCACTGCAGGATGCAGATCTGGCCCGCCTGCTGAGTTCAGGCTCCTTCGGGAACTTGGAGAACTTGAGCCTGGCCTTCACCAACGTCACCAGTGCCTGTGCGGAGCAGCTCATCAAGCTGCCGTCACTCAAACAGCTCAACCTCTGGTCCACTCAGGTCTGCAGTCGCTGCGATGCGAAACAAACCGGAGGCTGACGAAGCTGTGAAATGACTCACCTGTGGTTTGTTTTGTGCTCCGCAGTTCGGGGATGCAGGACTGAGGTTGTTATCCGAGCATCTGGCCTGCCTTCAAGTCCTGAACCTGTGTGAGACGCCGGTCACCGACGCCGGCCTGCTTGCTCTGAGCTGTAAGAGATCGCTCATTGATGAATCTTCTGATGCGCTGGCAGCCGTAGCTGACTGAGCTGCTTTTTGTGTTTCAGCCATGAAGAGCCTGTGCAGCCTGAACATGAACAGCACCAAGCTCACAGCCGACACGTACGAAGACCTCAAGGTAACTCCCAGCAGGAGAAGTTGCATGTGGACGACTCCAAGGCTCAATCCTTGGATCCCTTCTCTTTATCTAATCCTGTTGTTTTTGTTGGAAAGTTCTGAAGCACAAAATCACTTTGTTTACTTAAAAAAACAAGACCCTGATAAATTATTTTTTAACTTTTTCCACCTTCTACATGACAAATTTACTGGTTGCAAATGTGCATACCTTAGTCACATGTGGAGTACCCCAAGGTTCAGTCCCTGGAAATCCTCTTATTTAACATCTACATACTCTAACTTTGAACTGCCTTGTTGCTGAAATTTGCTTTACTAATAAACTTGACTTAATAAAGTAACAATCAGCAGATTTTAAGTCTTGTTTTCTCTCTGCAGGCCAAACTGCCCAACCTGAAGGACGTTGATGTCCGGTACACAGAGGCCTGGTGATCCGCCACAGCCTCCTGCCCCATCCATGGTCTCACACACTCACACACACACACACCCCACCATCAACTGCATCGACCAGAACCTCAGCGCCTCTCCGCCAGCCAGCTATGGAGGAGATTTCTTCAGCTTCAACCATTTCAGGTTGCAGCCGTGAAGGAAAGGTCAACATTTCTCCGTGGATGTTTCATCCCTCTTTTTTTAGGATCTGTTTTAGTCAGACTGCACAGGGACCGCACCCTTTCATCCGTCCTTGGCCCTAAATGGTCTCTGAGTTTTGAGGCTTCCTGTGATGAACACTGGAGATGTTCAGGTGTTGTGTCCGAAACCGTTTCCCTTCTAAGATGAGTTCCTCCCACCAGTTCTGACCTGATGTCGCGTCAGTAGACTCACGTTGCATTCAAATACACCTCGTATTCTAGATAATCTAGATTGAAATTAATTTAAAATCAGGTAATCAAACTTTAATATTATGAAATACCACCAGACTTAATCAGCACTTTCTAAATATTTACCATGAATTTGTTTTTATAATCAGAAAAAATGGAGACAGAAATAAAATTTAACTACAAATTTTTAAAAAAAAAGTATTTTAAACATTATCTTCAAAAGGTACTTTTGAATCTTTAAGTCATGACTCAAATTTATAGAATATATTGGAAAGGGTCAGCTTTGAGTTTTATATTTTGTATCCAGAAGTTTAGATTATCATGTTGAGTTTAATTTTATTAGAATTACCTAATAAAATTATGTATAACACTGTTGATATCTGACCAGATCTGGAGGGACCCTGGCCCCTGTCAGCCCCCATCTAGGACCACCCATGGTCCAGATGGTCTTCAGCCCCTGAATAATTCTGCTTCTGGCTCTTTTGTCCAGGTCACAAAAATGCATAATTTAAAAACTTGTCATGTAATTCTGGATGAAGGTTATGGGCCAAGCCATGAAGAAAAGACATTACGACCTGGAAAGGGCTTTTCTCTAGTTTATTACACCACCATGGGATTCAAGTCCACTCATAAAACAGATTATAAAGAGATAACACTACATTTATTTCACAGAATTTTTTTTTTTTTATCTAAGAATATATTAATAAATCTGAAACTGTTGTTACACTTTTAGCTTCAGTCGTATAGAGATAAAATCACAGTAGGGCTGGAAGCTTTTTTTTTTACATCAGTTTCAATTTTTGACATTAATAGATGTTTGCCTCCCTTTTTTTTTCTTAAAATAACAGAAAATATTTTCTATCATGTCTTCTGTGACTTGTGCACACGAGTATTGGAGCCAGGCTATAAAAGTGTATTGTTTAATTTCGAGAATATAGTCATAATATCAGCAGAATAAAGACACAATTTTACCACAATAAGTTATAAAATTACACAAAAAAAAAGTTGTTTTAATGAGAAAAAAATCTTTTGGTTCTCGAAATCTAATGTAACCAGTTCAGCAAGTCTTTCTTTGAACCAGACAGTTCTTTGCACAATCATTTCAAAGTTCTGCTACTGATAATAATTTGATGCCAATAGCAAAGTATAACTTCAAAAGACGCTCATCATTCCTCATTTTAAGTTTTCGAATAGGAGTTATAAAATTACTACTTTTTAACATTAGGACTTTATTATGGCTATTGTATGAGTTTATTCTCATATTACCTTGCCTTTCTTTTTATACAACTGTGGTCTTGTAATATTATGACTTTATTTTTCGTAAATAAATAAACAATCTTACCTGGGCCCCAAGTTAAAAATCTAAATAAATTGAAACTGTAAAACACTTGTCAAAACAAGATGGGGGCCCTGCCCGTACCAACATCAAAATCCAGATTTTTCCAAGAATTTAATCTTCGAAAAACAAAAAAATCTATTAATTAACACATTTTATCTAGAACCGCCTTTGGTGTAGATTTAATGGTGTTGAATTTGCATTTACTGGTGGAGAAACTCATTTTGCAGCGGAAACTTTGCTCGGCACAATAGCCGCTAGTCTCCGAACAGATCCATGATGTAGCTCCCTGAACGGACCGACCGAACTCTATCGGAGTCAGGACCTTTCAATTTTTCCTAAAAAAAACTAACAAACAAAAAAAAAACTACTCCTAATATCCGTCACACGGAAAAAGGAAAACTGAGGTTTTTTTATGATCTTGAATTAACATATTTTTCCAGATTTGGCAGTGGATGCGTTCGTGTTCCGCTTGTTTTCGGGAGGGAAAATATGGCGGCTGCTGTTTCTTTTCCTTTTCTTTTCTTTTTTTTTCGTTTGTATCCGGAGGGAAGAGGAAAACCACTAAATTCCGAGTGACGTCATGTTGAGTCCTCTTGGACTTTTTTTTTGACTCTGGAAACAAACTGTTGTAGGACAATTTTGCCAAAAAAAGAGAAAAAAACAAAAAAAAAACTAACTTCTATATCCAGCCAACTTCTGTCGACACTGTTCCGACTTTGAAGAGAGAAAACGATCCGGACGGATTCATTCGTGTACATATTGGATCGGAGCAGTTGTTTGCTACATTCCCTCGGAACCAACATTTTGAACTTTTTGTTCCCCTCCGGTATCAAACATACGTCGGACGTCCTCTATCTGGTTAATTTATTGGCGTCAACCTGCCGACCGCTCCCACAGGACAGGACGTTTTGTTTCCTATTTATTTGGTGCCATCGAGGCTGTCTGTTCCGACCCGTAACGGTCCGAAAGGTTCGGGTCCGGTTGTCCTGTACATACCGGTGTACATAATCGTCTTTTTGGAGTCCTTTTCCTCCTCATCATCCCCCTTTTTCTTCTCTAAGCCTGATTTCAGCTGCAGGCTTGTGTTGCCTTCATCTTAACGTTTGTTTGTGGTTGTTTTCCTTGTTTTTTGTTTTATTTTTTCACACAAAGTGCACTGTAATCATAAAAAAGGAACTGTTTTTAATGCATATTATTTCAACGGTTTTCAGCTCTCTGATGATTTAATCACTTTAATCAGAGTCTTGTTTCCTGTGTTGTTGTTGCTCTAGTTTAATTTTTTTTTTGCACGTATGCGTTGCTGCATCTTCTAATATTTTTTTTGTAATTTCTATTTCATATATATATATATATATATATATATATATATATATATATATATATATAAAGGTTTGTAAAATCTGATGAAGGGGGGTTGATCACTTATCTCCCGAAAACGAACGACTGAAACGGAGGGATTTGATCCCCCAAAAGGCCAGTTCAAGGGGGGTTGATGAAAACCGATCTGACCGTAGCTGAGCTTTATTTGTTTAAATGTGGCCATTTTTTATATAAAACAATAATAATAATGCACATATTTCTCGTTTTTCTCAAAGAATGTTGTTCAGATAATCATATCAGAGGTGGGACCCAGTGGTTCCACATTAGCAGCTCGGATTTTACTGCTTTAGTTCATCCTTTAACACTTTCTCACTTTTATTGGAGCAGTTTATGTGGGCAGGTAAGAGGGAGATGAATAAAAGAATGTTTATTTAATTCTTTAACTTTGCTGATGCTACCAGGAGCTAGTTAGGCTGAAAGATAAAAAAAAAAAAACGCAACAAAATTATCCTTTTACGTAGCTTTAAATGCAACATTTCATGTAATATGAAGCTTTAACACAAAGAGGAAACGAGTTTGTAATTTTCTCTCGATGTAGAGAAAAGTTTGAACAGATTTTTAGAAAAATTTGATTTAAAAACACGCAAATCCTGTAATCCGGCACTACCACGTTGTGACCAGCAGGGGGTGCTGATTCCCCAATAACAAGGACACAGGGGAATCGGTGAAAATAAGCAGTCATAATCAATAAATTAGAATATTTATTCACTCCAGCAAATCCATAGCTAAGTGAAACACATTATACATACTATTTGCACACTGATTAACATTTTCAAGCCTTTATGTTGATTATGATGATTTTTCTGCTTAAAGCTAATGGAAAAGCATTACATTCTAGGACATTGCATCAAACAAAAACAAACAATTTTGAAATAAAAATATGCAGTTAATATAACGTATAGTTGAAGGTTATTTTAGAAATTTGATGAGTTCATATTTTAATTCATTGAATATGATTTTACGGTGATTTCCCAGCCTAAAAGATGTTCTCACCTAACTGGCTCCTGGTTTTGGTTCCCAACATGCAGGCATGAGCCGGATCTCCCAGAACCGCTCCTGTAAACAAGTGGGCCCTTCTGGGCCGCAGCGTGTCGAAGTTTCAGTGTTTAATGGTTGAATAGAGACTCCTCTCCTGTTTCGTCTCTGTATCCTGTGGAGCTTCCTCCTCACTTCTGTTTTTTTTTTTCCTTTTTATTATTGTAGGCAGTCTGTCGAGAGTTTTACACACGTCTGTGTCAAATCTTATCAGATTGTGAGGAAGAAAAGCAGCCAGATGTGGCACAACCTGAAAAATCAGACTGAACGTTTTTTTGTTTGCAGCTGGAAAAGTGGCTCCCATCACATTTCTCTTTTTCAGTCGCATTGATCTGCTTTTCCTGCTGGGTTATTATTAGTTATCAATTATTAATGCTGCTGCTGCTCTGTGGCTGTTGTAATAGAAAAACAAAGGCTCTTTGACAGGAAAAATAACTGATGTGAAATAATTTCAATCAAAAATAAAATGTCTGTGAATATGTTTCAGCTGACCGAGTCATGTGGGTTTTCTTATTAGGATTGTAAGAATTAAATTTATTTCAGGAAAACAATGCAAAAATTCAGCATTTCTTTTTTTAGAAGACCAAAAACCAGAAACTGAAAGGCTTTTTGTCCAAAGGAAAATTTCAAAAGTAAAATACTTTTGTGGTTTTTGCATATTTATTTTTTTTAATGTACTTTAAAAAAATGAATAAAAAAAAAACAGAATTAAATTAACAGTTGAAGTTAAGTGACAACCAATTATGTATTGAAAGCAATTCAATCTACAGCAATTGATATTTTATAAATTATCCACTGGTTCCATTTTTCTTTAGTCTTGACATGGAGGTTTTTGCATGTATTTGACCCTTCTAAGCCACCGTACTTGGATACATTAATGCACACACAGACGGCTGGTTCTCAGTTTTTACTTTATCAAAACATCTCCAACAAACTGGAGACATAACTGTGATCGTGATGACTTGATCGCTGTTTAGGTGGCAAACAACTTTTGCCGCACAGGAGCAGGGAGCTGACACACGATGTCCACCAGGGGGCGCTCCACCACAACCAGAGACAGATCCTCCAGCAGGTTCACAGACAGCAGGTGCTGTGGGACAAAGTAACAGTCAATCTGTGGAAAAGGTTTGGGCACTGAAACAAATGTTTTGCAATATTTATTATTTGTTTTCTACCACATCATGCTAGGGGCATTGCAGACAGAAACTAAAGTAAATGTCTGCCAGAAATCTCAGAAATTTTCTAGAAAAACTATTCAGAGCGTGGAGGTTTTACCTGGAAGTTCTTGCAGGCCTTGAAGGCGTGGCTTTCTCTGAGCCTCTGTGGCTCGGGAAGACTCCGGAGGATCCTCTGATTGTAGAACTTCGACTTCGCTTCAGGAAGAGGCTGAGCAGATGAAACAGAAAGGTGACCAATTACGCTTCCCTGAACAGGTTAGAAAAGGTCTAGTCAGGGCTGGGCAATCCTGGTCCTCGAGGGCCGGTGTCCTGCAACTCTTAGACGTCACCCTGGTCCAACACACTTGAATCCAACAGCTGAATCGCCTCCTAAGTGCAGTCAGGTTGTCCAGAGTCCTGCTAACGACCTCATTATTTGACTCAGGTGTGTTGAAGTAGAGATACATCTAAAAGTTGCAGGAGACCGGCCCTCCAGGCCTGGAGTTGCCCACCCCTGGTCTAGTTAGACAAAACATTTTCATTACCTTTTTTTTGCACAAAATAATTCCTAGATAATGAGATTTTAGCTGTTTTAGGGTGTCTTGTTATTTTAAATTCAAATAAGCTGCTGCTGGCCACGACCCCCCAACTTAACGTTTACACTTGGACATGAAAATGGCTGCAAAAACAGATGAGCACTTATATAACCATGCTCTTTGAAAAGGATTAGTGGTGCCTCCTGCACAACCAACAAGAATCCAGCAAGTGGTTTCTGGAAGATAAGTCAACAAGAAAATACTTGTGTTTTCCAGCAGCCATTGTACAGCACACACAGTTGTAAAACCAGCTGGCCAAATGTGCTGGAACTCATTTTGAGTTGCTGGGTAACAATCAGAAGAGTTTTAAACAGCTCATTTTCCTGCAGCTGCTGAAAATGTAACAGATGGTGCAACTTTGGTCCCCAATTGAACCGAGTCTACTGACTATCAGACATGATCCTTAATGCCAAAAAACAGCTCTTTTAATCGCTTTCACTGTTTTTAGCAGCAGTCAAGGCCCACATTTAAGTACAAAATCGTATAAAATGTTTCTGGATGACAGAGCGATGCTGAAGAATTGTGAGCGGGTGGCTTTGCGTACCAGACTCTGGTCGATGATGCAGAACATGAACACGTCGTGCAGCATGATGTGCGCCGGGTTGTTGGGGTTGAAGGTGATCTGGGTAACGGGCGTGTCGCGCTGCAGCCACAGCGGGTGCAGGCCCTGCCTCTGCAGCTGCCGGCTCCATACGCTGTACTCCTTCTGCTTCAGGGAGAACTCAAAGATCTGCAAACCAACGACACAAAGTCAGCAGGTTCGATCCTCTGGGTGAAACAGAGACGTCGCCGAGGCGCCCACCTGCTGGTCGGCATGAACAGAGACAAGGTTGCCGCTGGTCGGGTGGATGGAGACGGCCGTGGGGCAGGAGCTGTAGGCTGGGACCGAGCAGTGCAGCTGCAAACCACAAACAGATTCTGTTTCCTGTCGCTGTTCTGCTCCATGATGTCCAGACAAAAGCAAACATTGGCGCTCACCTTCATCTTTCGAAGGTTGAAGACGTGGATCTCGCAGTCTGTGTTCGCCGTCGCGAGCCACTGACCGTCTTCACTGGGAGACAGGATGTGGATCGGCTGTTTGGAGCCTGGAAACACAAAAAAACATTAAAAATCAGGGAATATTTAATAGAAATGGTTCAAAAAGTGACAAAATGATACATTTCTGTTCGTTAACTGGAGCATGTAGACCCAAAAAAAGGACAATTGCTGAAAAAAGAACATATTCAGAGAAATTATTAAACCCAAACTGTATAGATTTTGTATAAGATGAAAATACTTTTATCTGTAATTACATTTTACCCCAAACTCCTCAAATGCCAGTTTTAGATTCTCCTTGTTTAAACTCATTAAAAGAATGTTATGTTACTGCATTTTAAGCAACAAAATGTTTATTTTCTTCTTTGTTGATTTGCATCATTAACTCAGTAGTTAAACCAATCAGACGTTTCCAACGCTATGACATCATCTTCTGCCTCTGAGCAGCAATCCAATCAAACCT